ATTAAATAAATAATTCTTTAAAAAAATAAGCTTTGGCTAGCAAGATTTAAGTGAATCAACAAGTACACTTTGTTTTGTTTTTGCTCTAAACGGCATGCGCTTACCAGACAGAGACAGAGTAAGAAAGCATCCCCCTTGGGGAATAGCTATGCTGCAATCCTGTCCCCACCATTCTCTTGGGATTTGGGGTACGCACGTGCCCAGTGTGTTTTTCTAGAATCCAGGTTCAGACTTCAACTACGCAGTCAGCTGTGTGAGATCTAGCCACTTTAACCATCACGCCACCAACTGTCCCCAACAAATTCATTTCAAAAGTATATTTATTTATGTTGCCAAAGGGGACATATGCTTGCCTGAGGGAGAGAGAGGGGAGAGAGAGAAAAGCAACTCAACGGGGTGTGGTCACGCCACACTCTTATTTCCTCTATTTCTCTATCCCATCAGGACTTGGGGCAAGCACTTGTTTTCAAGCCACCGACGCTGGGATTTAAACCCCCATTGGCTCTGTGGGATCTGGCTCTCAAAGCACAGGGCTCAGCCACTCAGCAAATAAATACGTACCACGGCGATTCAAAGTGCAGAGGGAAAAGTGGAGTAAGATCTAGGGGCCAGAGAGCTCCAGGTGACAGTGAGCAGGGTGGGAAGTGGGGGTCAAGAACTCTGGCGCTTGGGGACCAGCAGTTAGCGTAATGGCTATGTTGCTGGACTCCCACGTAGTCGACCACGGTTCGAGTCCTGGACCCGGTGGCTTAAACTCACGCTGGGCGCGTGTGCGTGCGTGCCCAAGATCCCGAGAGGAGAATGGAGGAGAAGGGATTGCGGCGTGACCATCCCCCCTGGGGGGTGATTTCCTGCTTTCTGTCTCTATGTCTCTCTCTGTCTGTCTAGCGAGCGCACGCGCCCTATAGGGGAGGGCCCCCCCCCTATAGAAAAAACCCCTCAAAAAAAAAAAAAAAAAAAAAAAGAACTCTGGCGCTTGCGCCAAGACCTGAAGAAAGCGAAGACATGGAGAGTTTGGATATTGCAGGGAGAGCATTCAGACAGGGAGAATCACCGAGGCAAAGGCCCTGAGGTAGAGTGCCCATGAGCTCAGGAGGCCACAGTGGCTGGAGCAGACGGAGGCAGTGGGTTGAGTGGTGTGGAGGCCCATTATGTAGACCCAGAGGCCGTGGCAAGAACTTTGCCTTTCCTCTGAGTGGGGGCCTCTGAGGTTCTGAATGGAGGCGTGACTGGATCTGCCTTAGGTGTTTTTTGTTTTTTTGGAGAGGTTTTTGCTATAGGGCGCGTGAGCTCACCAGAGAGACAGAAAGAGAGAAATCATCTCCCACAGGGAATGGCTACGCCGCAATCCCTTCTCCTCCATTCTCCTCTCGGGGGGTCTTGGGCACACACGCACACGCGCCCAGCGTGCGTTTTAAGCCACCGGGACCGGGACGCGAACCGCGGTCGACTACGTGGGAGTGCAGCTACATAGCCATTACTCT